AAATAAATAAATAAATAAATAAATAAATAAATAAATAAATATTAAAAAAAATTTAAGTCACTGGATTAGAGAGGTAGGAAGTGGCAGGCCATATCTGATTCTGAAATCACAGGCAGGGAAAATAACTTATGTTCCCTCAGAATCAAATTATACCAAATTTCAGAAACACATTTAGGTGCCACACTCTTTTTTTTTTTTTTTTTTTTTTTTTTTTAGGTGTCACTCTTATAATAGATGGGGCTCTGCAATTCACTCTGAACTTTTTCAGTTTCATTCACACTAAAGATTTCAAAACTGGACCCATAACAAAACACACCCTTACAACTTTTTGCAGGGTTAAAAATTGTCCCTTCTTTCAGCCCACCACTAGAGGGCCAGGCCATAAAAGGCAGCATGTTAAATCCTAGGGCTCAGGAGTGAACACCCTGGTTTAATCAATGTGTGATGTGTGACCTTGGATAAGTTACTTTACCACTCTAAGCCTCAGTTTCCCCATCTGTAAAACAGGAATAACAGCGGCACCTATCCCACTAGGCTGCAATTAGGTTAAACAACACGTTAAAATAAACACTGTCAACAATGCCTGCAGATACAGATGAGCAAATTTAAAGTTTTTACCTTACTGGTGCCAATAAATTACCAATGCTGGTTTTGTTTCTAAATTCAAAGACCCCCACCGTATCCTTTTGGGCAACGGCCCTCGTATCCAGAGTCCTCTTAAAAAAAGATCAACAGGTCTCTCTTTCTCCTAACCAGAGTTAGTCCAGAAACCTCAAGTGCCTGACCTGTCTATGCCAAGAAGTCTTGGCTCTGGGCTTTCTAACACTATGAAGGCTGTCACCGCGTCTAGCAGAACCACCCCATTTCTGCGCCGACCGGGACATTTTTTTCTGGCCTTCCAAGGCCCAAGCTCTGCTGGCCCCGGCCTGCCCTTGCTTACCGGTCCGGGGCTGCCCTGGCCCTGCGTCTCCTCTCCCGAGGACTCTACCCTCTACGTAGGCAGGTAGGACCTCACCTGGCTCGGGAGCGCGTCGGCCAAACGCCCGCGGGAGCAGGCTCCCTTTGGCGGCGCCCAGGCCTGCCGCCCGGAGCCCGGCCCCCCGCAGGACGGGAGGGCAGGGCAGGCAGGGCTCTGCGCACCCCGGGGCGCACGAGCTCCGGCCCCAGGCGACCACGTGGGGACACCGGGGGCGCTAGCCGGGAAGCAGCCCCGGGGGCTGCTCCCCGAGCGGCCCTACGCCGGCCCTAAACTGGCCCGAGGGGCACTCCCGACCTGATTTCTCCTCCCATGCCTGTCTGAGTGTCTCAGACATCTTCTTCACACTGCAGTCAGGCCCTCGCCGGACCCCGCTCCCCAACACCTCAGCCCGAACACCCGTCTGCCGAGGCGCCTCACTCACCCATCGCGGCTCCGCTCGCTCAGACTTGGCGGCGGCCGCAGCGGTACCTTCAGCGGCAGCTTCGGCAGACAATATGGCGGACCTGCAGGACGGCGGCCTGACGGGGACAAACGTTCTACACCGTACAAAACGCGTTCTTAACCCTCACGCCCCCTTCTCTTCAGGAGATGGTTTGATAAGCGCGCGTTTAAAGGGAACGCAGCCTCTGAATGTGGCGATCAGGAACGGAATAGACAGACAAGACTAGAAGGGTTATATGCTGAACAAAGTGTGCCAAGCTCTCAGCTGCTTCTGTTTTCATTTCCTCTTTATGGCGCGGCCTCCTTTTCCAGAAAGATATCCCTTCTCTTTATAATTAAGGCTAAATATGTATAGATCCTGAGCTAAATAAAGGATTATCTAGCAAGAGGAAGTGATTCGTTCTCGGCTATGGAGATACAGAAAAGAAGTGAAGATTAAACTACGGTTTGTTTCTTGTTTTTGTTCATTTGAGACAAGGTTTCACTATGTATCTCTGGCTGCCCTGGACCTGCTTATGTAGCCCAAGCAGACTTCGAACTCACAGAGCTTCACCAACCGGTGCCTCTGAAACGCTGGGATTAAAGGCTCCCAGACCTTTCCGTTTCTAGTATCCCAGACTTTAACTCCAGATCCTCTTGCGTCCACCTCCCTAGAGCTGAGATTACAGGTGTGTGCTATCCCGCCACGGGTTTGCAAATGATTCTCCGGAAAGTGTGTGTGGGAGGGGCAAAGCCCACCGGCCTTTTCTGTGTTGCTGAAGATGGCCACCACCGCCTTCCACAGTGTCTGGTTTAGGGCTATTGAATGGATACACACACCACACACAAAATTAACAGGTTAGTGAGATTCCTTTTTTAGTAATGAGGAACCTGAAGCATGTGCCTTTTGAATCAAGGAATTTGGGGCTGATAGTTTATAAGCCTCCTTTTTTTTTTTTTTTTCGTGATAGCATACCAATCTTCTCGTCTTCCACCTCAACCCGGATTATGCCTAATCTTTAGTCTCCATCCTTTGGAAGAATGACCCCAGGGGCTAGCAGAACAAATTGCCAACTCTGCCCAGATGCCTGGTGGATAAAAACTCAAATTTTCTTTCTATGACTCAATTTGAGGAAAAGGAACGCTGCAATTCTGTGTTTACCTTTCTCTGTTATCACTCTAATCTGCCTCCTTATCTCACAAATCTCCAGGCCCAATTTTTCTGCCCCATCTGCCTTTAAAGCCACAGACAATAAGGATCCAGAGAGATGGCTCAGCAGGAAAAAGTGCTTGTAGTACTTTTGGATCCCTGGAATCTCTGGTGCACAGAGATTTCCATCTCCCAATTGTATGCTACCTCTGCTCACACACTGTGACACAAATGTATCTATACACACACACACACACACACACACACACACACACACACACACACACATAAATTAGTGTTTGGGTTAGGGATTTAGCTCAGTGGTAGAGTACTTGCCTAGCAAACACAGGGCCCTGAGTTTAGTTAGAAAAAGAGCAACACAAAAACAAAGGTAACCATTGGGCACAGTGGCGCACGCCTTTGATCCCAGCACTTAGGGAGGCTGAAGCAGGTGGATCTCTGTGAGTTCAAAGGCCAGCCTGGTCTACAAATTTAGTCCAGGACAGCCAAGGCTACACAGAGAAATCCTGTCTCAAAAACAAAACAAAGGTAACTAAACACATTAGTGTTGTTCTTTTGCTTGGTAATTTCCCACTGCCTGCTCTGTGGAATGCCCAAACATCGCAGTCTGGCTGGCACACAGGCTGGTTGAAGGGCTACTCACCAACAGAAAATTCAGACTCCAGCCATGCTTGAAGAACCCTTTCCCCCAGGCTATTATCTTCTCTGTGTGTGCATATGCAGTTCCGTCCCTTGCCTTCTTTATTTGACCATGTGATCCAGTTCAAAAAGCCAGGCAGGGGGGTGCATACCTGTAATCCCAGCACTCAAGGAGGCAGAGGCAGTTAGATCTCTGAGTTTGAGGCCAGCCAAGGCTACACAGAGAAACCCTGTCCTGAAAAAAACATCTTTTTTTTTTTTTTTTTTTTGAGGCAGGATTTTTTTGGGATAGCCCTGGCTGTGCATTCTTTCTTTAGCATTTCACATTGGTTTGCTCCCAAGGTATGTTCACATTTCCCTGTCATTTAAGGAAAGGAAGACATCTTTCTCTTTTTTGTTATTCCAATCTGTGGCACAATGCCCTCTTAACAGAACCACCAGAACTGTCAAGCCTGCCTCCCATCCTCCGGAGCTCATTTGCATATCTCTGGCCAAAAGTAGACCGGCTCAGGTGTGTACATTCCTTCCCCTAGAGCTCTCTAACTGCTCAGGTGTGTTCGTCCCTTCCCCTTAGAGCTCTCTATGCCTGCTGGGGCCAGCTGACCCTCAGATGACCCTTTCCATAGCATTGTTTTCATTCTAGGACTCAGCCTGCTCCCGATTACATTTCCCCCTCATCCAGACCCTGACCTTCCCAAAGACCTCCCATTTTCTTCACTTTCTTGTGTTGGAACCACATTCTGCTAGCCCTCTCCCAACACAATGGAGAATTCCACCCTTCCATCCTTCCTTCTCAGTGGGATGGCTCTCCTCCTTACACCGAATGTAAGTGCAACCACAACTGTGGCCTCACACATAGGGAGAGGACCAACAGCCTCCCCGCTGTGCTGGTGTTTTTTTTTTTTTTTTCTTTTTTCAAGAAACACAGTTTTTAAAATTACATTTATTGGGCCGGAGAGTTGGCTCAGTGATTCAGAGCACCTGTGGCTCTTGCGGAGGACCAGGGTTTCATTCTCGGCAACCAAATGGTGGCTCACAAAGCATGTGCAATCCCAATCTCAGGAGGTTCAATGTCCTCTTCTAACCTCTAAGGGCATCAGACACACGCATGGAGCATGTACATATGTAAATGGCCCATATTCATGAAATAATAAATCTAAAGCTATGTAAAAATTACATTTACTTTATGTGTGTGTGTGGAGAGGACAACCAACAGGAGTCATCAGGTCTCTCCTTCCACCATATTGGTCCCAGGGATTGAATCTGAGTTGTCAGGATTGGTGCAAAGTGCCTTGACCCTCTGACCCATCCTTCCAGCATTGCTTTCCCAGTGTAGCAGTATCCTGGCCTGGCACCAATGCCCAGTACAGGGCAGGGTTGGAGTGACTGCAGCCTGGGAGGACCAGGACATATTTTTCTAGGAGTAGTGTCACCACCTTTCAGAGGATTTTATTTTATTTTTTTGGCCAGCTCTGCCATTTCACAGGAGAAACAAGGCTCCTGCCTTGTTACCAGGAGCAAGTCACTAGAGCTCTGGGTTTCGGTTCACATGTGGGAGTGACAGCACACACCTTCATAGCATTGTTAAAATGGGGATGACAAGGCCTGAAGTATTCCACGCAGCAGCATCTGTACACAGCTGCCTCAGCCTCTGGGATCTCCTCATCTCCCAGCCACAGGAGGAGTCACAGAAGACAAGCGCAGGGCTTCCCGGCTCAAGATGCCCACACTTCTGACTGCCTGAAGGGCAGGAGCAAGAGAAAGAATCACAGGACACAGGCTTGTTGGGAGTATAAAAATAAGACTTTTTTTCTTCTTATCACATCAATTATCAAAGAAAGAAACATTACGTAACAAAAATACAAAGCTCTGGTGGATTTTTTGTTTGTTTGTTTTGTTTTGTTTTCCCCCCTCCCCCTACCCAACCCCCAAAGCCCTTGGCCAGGAGGCCCCAGGGTGAAGCCAGGATGTTGTCTCAAGAACCACCCTGGGGCTCAGGAGAACCGGTGGTCCAGGTCCCTCTGGGGGCTGGCAGAGTATGAGTAGGCTTTGCCCAACACTAGGCGGTCCCGGAGCAGCTTGAAGAAGGCGTAGTAGTTGCTGAAGAGGATGAGGGCCAGAGAGATGGTCTGGTGCCACTTCTCTGAGGACATTAAGGAGTACAGCTGGTAGACAATGACAGCGCCCTCCAGCAGCAGCAGGATGTTGAGGATCCTCAGGGGGTTGCTGAAAAAGAACTACCCAGGAGCGGGTAGGCAAAGGCCAGAGGGCATGCTCCAGAACCTGCTTTCTGGATGACGGGGGAGGGGGGGGGGGTGTTGGTGCCCAGTGAAGAGGTCGAGCTCTAGGGGTCCATGTGTATGTGGGGAAGACTGTGTCAGGTCAGGCAGGCTCTGCTACCTCATCTGTCTTTGCTTATGGCACTCTGCTCTGCTGCTTCCATTCAGACTGTGGAAGATACTTTTGGGAAGGTTTTTCTTTCTTTCTTTCTTTCTTTTTAATTTTTAAATTTTATTTTATGTGCATCATTGTGAAGGTGTCAGATCCCTTGGAACTGGAGTTACAGACAGTTGTGAGCTGCCATGAGGGTGCTGGGAATTGAACCCAGGTCCTTTGGAAGAACAGACAGTTCTTTTAACTACTGAGCCATCTCTCTAGCCCCTCTTTCTTTTTTTAACATTTTTTTATTTTTATGTATATGTATATTTTATGTATACGAGTGCTCTATCTGCATGTACACTGTGCACGCCATAAGAGGGCAGATCTCACTATAGATGGTTGTGAGCCAACATGTGGTTGCTGGGAATTGAACTCAGGACCTCTGGAAAAGCAGCTAGTGCTCTTAACCTCGGAGCCAACTCTTAAGTCACAGCTGGGAAGCCTTTTCTGAGAGGTCTCCCTTGCTCTTTCTGACCTAAAGTCAACTTCTTTTTATTTATTTGCTTCTAGGCTGGCCTTGAACTCACAGAGATCAGCATGCCTGAAGGCCAGGATTTAAAAACATGTACCATCACACCCAAACCAACTTTTTTTAAAATGTTACTCTCTGCAGTATTGTTGGGCCTGAACAAACCAGAATCTCTCTCTCTTTCTTTTTTTTTGGTAGTGCTAAGGATTGAACTCAGGCTTTATATGCTTAGCAACTCTGATATCATCAACATGAAAAGCTATTTATTTATTCTTAGTTGCTAGACATCAAAAGTATGGACAGCTATTAAACTCTACAGCCTGAGTACTTACTACCCTCTCTGTAGCATCCTAAACTAGACTGAAAATGTAGGGGGCATAGCAACACCTTAGTCTTACAAGGTGTTTCAAAGGAAAACAATGTAGAATTCAAATTTTTTTTTTTTCTGCCTGGCAGTGATGGCTCATGCCTTTAATCCCAGCTCTCAGGAAGTATAGGCCAGTCTGGTCTATAGAGTGAGTTCTAGGACAGCCAGGGATATGCAGAGAAACCATGTCTTGAAAAGCAAAACAAAACAAAACAAAAAAACAGAAAAAGAAAACAGAAAGAAAGAAGTTTTTGTTAAGTTCAAGAGTACTCAATGTCTAGGGATCTCAATCTGCAGAAAAAGCACCTAAAACTTTTTTGTTGTTGTTTGTTATTCAAGACAGGGTCAGGGTTTCTCTGTGTAGCCTTGGCTGTCCTGGAGTCTCTTTGTAGACAAGGCTGGCCTCAAACTCACAGAGATCTGCCTGCCTCTGCCTCCCTGAGTGCTGGGATTACAGGTGTGTACCACCACAACTGGCTAAAACACCTAAAATTTATGGACTGCTTATAGGGTGGGGAAGAGGCAGCAGGGGTGTAGCAAAAGAGACAGGATGCTGAGGTTAGGCCTTCGCCTTCTGTGAGTCTAGAAGCAAGTCTCTTCTCTCCCTCTCTCTCTGAGAAATGAAGGTAACTGGCCAGATCAACCACCTCCAGTGATCTCCAGCTTCACCTGGTCCCCCAGCTTCAGCAGAGGCTTCTAGGAAGTATGGGAATTCAAGCTCCTTCAGAGTAGTGCCATGAGGCCTCTGCTGGGAAGGGGGTTTGCAGGCTAGCAGCCTTGCTGATTCACAGCAACCCTTTCCCCTATGCTGACTCAGGCCATCTGCATGAGTTCCCAAGTTTCTCAGTGCAGCATTCTTGAATAGCTTAAAAATGCATGGCACAAAGTATGGATTCATTAACGTTATTCCCGCTGCTAGGATCTCTCTGTCTCTGTCAGTCTGTCCCTCCCTTTGTTTCTCTCAGTGCTAGGTTTAAAGGACCTGCCAAACCCTTCCATTTAATGTCTGATCCTCTCTCCATCTATCCGGCGCTCTGAAAGAGCTGCAGCCGAGGGAACTGCAGTTGTGCTCATCTGTGTGGACAGCCTTGGGTTGCGTGTGCACAATGTCTTTATCTGGTTTTGGCAATAGTGGGAACAGTCATCACCGTCCTCCCTGTCAAGGCCACCCACCCACTCCCTGCCTTGAAGATCAGGCCCCGCCTCCTGCCCAGAAAAGAACACTCACGTGGAACCGGAAGTGGGAGACATCTGAGGGGATGGCCACATTGTAGTGGCCCACTGCTTTGTAGACGTTCTTGCTGTGCTTTACCAGCACGCCCTGTGGCCACATGCACTCCTCAGTCCACCTGGAAGCAAGAGCACATCTTGTCGTCCCCAGCTCATTCATGAAAATGGGGGCCAAAGGATTGGGCACAGGGTGGCCATCAGCTCCACTTCCAACTCTATCACTCTGCCACTGTGACTCCTTCTCTGGGTCTCAGCTGCCTCCTCTATAAAATGGAGTGACAGCCACAGGCAATTCACTGCCGTGGGACATCTAAATTATGAAGAAAACCCTTGTCTCTATCTATTTGCCTCACTTGTAACCTCCTGTGGGTTAGATACCCACCTACCTAGGTAGACAAGGCATCTGTGATTATGCTGTTCAAAATGTGCTGAAGGCTTTGCAGTATCTCACGGCTTTGGCGTGGCTTCCTGAGAAGCCATTCGCCACCCCTTGATTTCCACTGTGCTGCTCACAGCCCTGCATAAGCCACTCCCACAACACTGACCGAGCTTCCTGATGCCTTGTCCTGGCAGGCTCTTTCCTTATTTTTCAAATCCTAAGATCCTCCAGAAAGCCTTTCTCAGACTCTTTATGGAATTGAGTATCTTTTATTGTTCCTTGAAACTTTTGCTACCTACTGGTCTACATTCCCCAGTGTTTGCCATTTATTTGTTTCCTTGTCTGTATCCATTCCTTTAGGAAGTGGACAGCATCTACTTCATGCCTGGCATTCAGAGGCTAACTGAAGCCAGGTGGCACACACCTTTAATCCCAGCACTTGTAGAGGCAGGTGGATCTCTGAGTTCAAGGCATGCCTGGCCTACAGAGTAAGATCTTGGACAGCCAGAGTTAACCATGGGAACCTGGTCTCAAAAAAACAAAACGAAAACAAAAACAAAATGGAGAGAGAGAGAGAGAGAGAGAGAGAGAGAGAGAAGCCAAATAAGAGCAGAGAGTTTCCTTCCAAAGTCCTATGACATTCCAGGGACCTCAAGATTCTCAGCCAGAAACAGAACTATATTCTTCTTATTATTATTTTTTAAAGATTTATTTATTTATTTTATGTATATGAACACTCTGTTTTCATGCACACCAGAAGAGGAAATCAGATTCCATTGCAGGTGGTTGTGAGCTATCATGTGGTTGCTGGGAACTGTACTCAGGACCTCTGGAAGATCAGTCAATGCTCTTAACCACTGAGCCATCTCTCCAGCCCCAGAACTACATTCTTAAGCAACTCTCATGTAACCATATTCTTGACTCATTGGTTCATTCACTTAAAAACACACAACCACAAGGACGAACCTCATAGACATAACCCTGAATGAAAGAAGCTGAACATGGCGTCTATTTATGATTTCATTCACAGGAAGTTCTAGAATAGGAAAAAACAATGTATGGTGTTGGTATAATATTTTTTTGAAATGTATACACCTTACCCTTATTCATTCAAACGCTGATTCCCCAACTCTCTGGTTTAAATCTGGATAGTGCATTGTGATACTTAGACTCAACTTTGTGTAACTAGGCCAAAATAAAGCAACTAGCCACAATACTGAACAATGGGAGGAGCCAGAGGGTAGGAAATGAGTGGGAGAAGAAAAGGTGAGGAGAGCTGGGAGAACAGAGGCAGGAGAGAGATCTTGGAACAGCGGGAAGAGAATGAACCAGACTTAAGATTTCACAAAAAGCAAGTATAATGGGTAAAATCTAAATGTTAGGAAACTATGCGGGCTTGGAGATCTAGGAGGGAGTAACTACTGCCCAGCATTGAGTTCTTGGTTAATTAAATAAACCCAGTCTCTGTGTGGTGATTTGAGTATACAGCTGTTTAGGATTAACAGCAGCGTTACCAGAAGATATATCAATAGTAAATATTAATACTCACCTACAACAGTATGGTGAAAGAAAGGTAGAGTGTGTGTGTGTCTGTGTGTGTTGGAGGAGGTTTACTGGGAAGAATCATGAAGAGAAATGGCTCAGCAGTTAAGAGCACTGGTTGCTCTTGCAGAGAGCCTGGGTTTAATTCCCAGCACTCGTATGGTGGCTCCCAACCATTTGTAATTCCAGTTCCGGGGGATCTGACACCATCTTCTGACCTCTGTGGTCATCAGACACGCACTCATAACCACAAATGAATCAATCTAAACAATTAAAAAAATAAAAAGCCCACAAAACACAGCCAGGCGTTCTGATGGGAGAGAGGAGATGGCTGGGTGCTACACAGGCAACAGACATGGTTTCTAGAGGCTTTCAGCCTGGAGCGAGCAGCACGAGACAAAGGAACAGAAGGGAGCAAGTGAAGAGGATGCTGTGGATGAGCACTGAGTGGAAAGGCCCTTTACAGAGGAAGGCGCCTGGAGTTTCCAGGCGAGCAGGAAATAGGAGAGGATAGAGAGAACACTCCAGTCCATCATTGGGAAAGGCTGGATTTGGAAGTGAGTAAAGCATATGAGAACTTGGCTAGAGGCAAGGTATTTGTTAGGATGTAGGAAGAAAATGAAGGGCTCACAGGCTCCAGCCCAGCAGCCTGGAGGCTGTGCAAAGGGCCTGGATCTTACTCAAGGACTGGAGTGAGGTATAGACAGGCAGCTTTCTTTTCTTTCTTTCTTTCTTTCTTTCTTTCTTTCTTTCTTTCTTTCTTTCTTTCTTTCTTTCTTTCTTTCTTTTTCTTTCTTTCTTTCCTTTCTTTTGTTCTTTCCTTCTTTCTCCTCCCTTCCTTCCTTTTTTTTTTTTTTTTTTTTCTGAGATACAGCTTCTTTGTGTAGCCTTGGCTGTCCTGAAACTCTATAGACCAGGCTGGCCTCCAACTCACAGAGATCCACCTGCATCTGCCTCCTGAGTGCTAGGATTAAAGGTATGAGCCATCATGTCCAGCTACATTCTATCTTTCTACTCCTTCTTCCCTCTAGTGCGGGGGATGAGCCAAGCCCTCTTATGGCTAATTCAGTAAGGTCAGCTGCTTCTCTCTGAACCTAAACAGAGCATGAAAAGGATCCTATGACAGGACCATAAACACAAGGGCACTTGGCCTCTGAGGAATCTCCTTGTGCTTTCACTCTGGTTGGCCTCCCTCTACAAAGCTGTCCTAGAGACTCATATGAGAACTTCAACAAGGGATGCTTAGTGTAATCAGGACAGGGACTCAGCTGAAAGGCTGTGCAATTGTTAGGCACTGATGAAGGATGAGGAGGCTGAAGGAAGACCAGCTCAGCACCTCAGAGCTCCTGTGTAGGGAGACATGAACTTCTGCTCTGAGAACAGTGTCAGCCTGCAGCTAAGCCTTTCGCCTCACTCATCCTAACTAATTTTTATGTGGTTATCTTCCCCCACCAGCCTGTGAACTTATTAAAAGATTTCATCTTTGTTTCATCCCTGATGCTCTCCCTTCCTGGATAGGGTTTACCACAAGCTAACACAGAACCATATCTCGCTCTGACCGAGGTTTCAAAAAGCACAGACTGGAAAAGTTCTTTCTACTTTTCAGAGCCATCTATAAATAACTCCCCCCAGCTGATAGGTGAAAGAGCAAGCTCCTTTGCCTGCTACAGAGCCCCAGGCTGAAGTGAAAGACTACTGAAGGAACAGGCAATGTAATGGTGGAGGAAGTAAGCAAGTAATCGAGCAAGTGACAGGAGCGAAGAATGACCTCACGCATGAGCAATCAGTCAGTGAGTGGACACATGGGAGAGTGAATGAGACAGTTGGGGGTCCACGCATTATCACCTGTCGTCCCTGCCCCTCGCCCCTGCCACGTCCAGTACACTAGTAATCTCCCCAAGGATGGAGAACAGGTCTAGCTAGAGCCCCAACATACTCTACTCTGGACACAAGTCCTAATACATCAGACAAGCTTCATAACTAACTTGCTGGCCAACTGAATGAGTTAGTGAGCCAGATGGCAAGTGACTCTGTACCCTGACCAGGGAAACAGGTTGGTTGGGCAACACAGGACAGGGTAACTCACGGGTGCTGCAGCACGTTGGAACAAAGAGCTGGGTCCACCTTCTGCCAGCAGCCCAGGTGGGCAGCAGCCTTGTGTAGTAGGTCGCAGTAGCTGGCAGGAAGCAGGTGCTGCATGAGGATCACAGAGGTGCTGATGGACACCAGCAGGAAGAGCTCGCAGGACCAGCGCTTGTCATAGTAATGTGTATTCTGAGGAGAGCAGGAGGTGGGTCAGGCTCAGGAGATCCAAAATGGCCCTGATCCCTCTCCCTTCCCTGAGTCTACCTAGAAACCAGGACAATATTATGGAGATTTCAGGACAGCCCGAAACCAACAATGACACGCCTGAGAAGGGCAGCTTAGAGCCTGTGCCCACCAGTCAATTTCTATGGTGGAAAATTGCTCTCCTGCCCCCTACTCTGGGTCAGCGCATGCCTGGACATGCAAAGCAATCTTGGCTCTGCTGAGCATTAATTATGAACTATGTGACTTCTGGCAAATTAACCTGACTATTCTTCCATTTCTTCACCAATTAGATGAGGGTAAAAGGAAGCACAGAAAATGTAGGCTTTAGAGAGATTTTAATGCATAACAGAGTTCTCTGCAGACAGTCCTCTCAACATTCAATTAAAAAAAATCTTTTGTGTGGGTTTAGCGATGTGGGTTAGTGTTTAAGAGCACTGGCTGCTGCTCCTCCAGAGGAGGGGTTTAGTTCCCAGCACTGACATGGAGACTCACAGCGATCCAGAACTACAAGCCCAGGGAACCTAGTACCTTTTCTGGCCTCTTGAGGGCACGGGCACACAGGTGGTGCACAGACCAGCACATGTAGGCAAACACCCATACACATTAAATTTAACAAGATTTTATGTGATGTATATGCTGTGTGTCTGTGTACCGTGTGCATGCAGACCAGAAGAAGGCATTACTTCCCCTGGAACTGGAGGTACAGACAGCCGTGAGGGGCCATGTGGGCACTGGGAATTGAACCCAGGGCCTCTGAAAGAGCAGACAGTGCTCTCAACTACTTAGCCATCTCTCCAGCCTCTAACTTCCAACTTTATCCTGGGGCCAGGAGGTAAACGCCCCTGCTTCCAGACCTGACAACATGACGTCAATCTCCAGGACCCAGACTGTGGGTGAACCAACTCCCACAAGCTGTCCACTGACTTCCACACACACCCAAGCATGCATTTGCCTACATAAACACACACACACACACACACACACACACACACACACACACACACACGGGGGGGATGTAACAAAGTGCGTCCTGGAGCAAGGATTCAAGTCTATTGCAGCTGAAGAAACTTAGTAAAGAATTAACTTTTGAGATCATTTAGATCTGATGACTCCCCGCTTCTTTCTTTCGAGATTGGTTTCTTTTATGAGTGTGCGCGTTCTGCCTACATGTATGTATGTATACCACATGAAGCAGTATCTGCAGAGGCCAGAAGGGGGCGGCAGAGCCTCTGGAGCTGAAGTTAAAGTCATGGAGCATGGTGTGGGCTGGGACCTGAACTCTGGTCCTCTGCAGGAGCAGCCAGTACTCTTTTTTTTTTTTGAAATGATTTATTTTATTTATTTATTTAATGTGCCTTGGGGTAAGGGTGTCAGACAGCCTGGAACTGGAGTTATAGAGAGCTGTGAGCTGCCATGTGGGTGCTGGAGTTGAACCCTGGCCCTTTGGAAGAGCAGACAGTGTTCTTAACCACTGAGCCATCTCTCCAGCCCCAGCCAGTACTCTTAACTGCTGAGACACCTCTCCTGCCCCAGCTCTTGGTTTCTCCATTCAATGGCAAAGCAGGACACTCATAGACCTGTGCCAAAGGAGCCACTAACATGCGAAGTCTCTTCTGTCAATCAGGAATCCTTGGCTAGGTCGCTCCCTTTCAGGGAAACTTGTCCTCTGTATTCCAGAGCTCCCGAGGAGAAAGCCTATCAAAACTGGCAGAGAGGAGGCTGGGGACAACTCTGACGGTGAAGTGCTTAAGGACTTGCCCTCTACTCCTCTGAGCCTATGTGAAAAGCCGCATGTGGTGTCTCGGCATCTGAATATCCAGCACTGGAAAAGCAGAGGCAGGAAGATCTCTGGATCTAGCTAAATCAGCACGCTGCAGATTCAATGACAGACGAGCTCAAGAAATAAGGCAGAGAGCAACTGAGGAAGACACCCCCTAGCAATTCTGGCTTTTTACACAGACACAAACAGACTTACACAGACACACACAAACTCTCATATACACACACACCTAGAAAACAAACATATAACAAGAAAACCCCCCAGGAGAGTTACTTTACAAACAGAAAGACTGAAAAGTGTGTATGTGGGGGGCAGGGCATAGCAAGCCACTTTGCTTGCGTTGAGCTTTGTACCTTCACAAACCAAACAGGTACGAAGGCCACATAGTAGGCACTTAGCATGGAGCTGACAAGCACTTCCTTCATGCGCCAATTGAAGTCCATTTTGAGGAACTCGACTTCATTGCGGATGAGGCTGGGTGACAGGCAGCAGGCATGGGTGGGCATGGCTTCTGGGCCATAGAGCTGTCGCGTGTGCTGCTTCCAAGTCTCCCGCAGTGTCAGCAAGTAGTCCCGACTCCTCGCCAGACCGCTGACGGCCTCTCTCGGCCCCATAGAAGCCATGTGGCTAAACAGGTTTGTCTTGCGAAGATCATAGTTGAGCTGCAGGAACGGAATGTACATCCCAAACCTGCTGTGGAAGAAAGAGGTGAGGCCAGGCCTATCCAAAGTCAGGATTCTGAACCTCGACTCAGGGAGGATGCTCTGATTTTCCTGCTGGCCTTCAGCCCTCCTGGACATTCAGAGGGGAAAATTTACTCATCTTCCTATCCCTCCACCTTTCCATCCAAGTCAATGGCTCAAAACATGTCTTAGCATTGAGTGCATGGTGGAACTGAGCATAGTAGGAAGCCAGAGGTAAATTCTTTCCTGAATGGTGATAGCTAACAATTACCATAGCAACCCACACTCATTGGGCACATGCCATGATCCAGGCTCACTTTTCTACATGCACTCCCTTTTTTCTTATAAGCATACAGGCAGCAGGTGCTATGATTTTGCCATTTTCTCAAGGAAGGAAATAGGGTTGCTCAGAGCAGTGTAGTTAGTTCTCTAAGGTAATACAATCAGTTCAGGAAAAACAGAGCCTAGGTTTATACCTAGAACTGCCTGGGACCAAATACATTAAGAAAAACAAAACACAAAACACCTCCAATCAATTTAAAGGATAAGATGGGGAAAAGGCATGGTGTGCCTTTCAGCCCAGCACTTGGGAGGCAGAGGCAGTTGGATCTCTAAATCTGGGGCCAGCCTGGTCTACAGAGTTCCAGAACAGCCAGGACTACATAGAAAGACCCTGTCTCAAAAAACAAACAAGCAAACAAATGAAAAAAAAAAAAATAAGATGTACATGGTGGCATGTGCCAGTCATTTCAGAATGTGGAAGGCTAAGGCGAGAAGATCATGGGTTCTAGGCTAGCCTAAGCCACATATTGAGACCTGTCTCAAACAAAAATATAGCATAATGGCACAGAACAGGTCATGGCTGTATAGCTGGTGTGTATGTAAGAGAGTGCTCTTCACCTTGCAGGGCAGTGGGCAAGAACAAATACTTATCCCGTGTCGATTATGTGCCAGGCACTCAACAGTCCACAATGTCCCCTCTGCAGCACCCATGTGGGGATTCAAAGAATTAGTCCAGGGGTTTGGAAGTGTGTGGCTGGGACTATGAGGACAAACTAGGCAGGTCCCATAACCTGAAAGAGTACAAGCATCGCATCTGCAGATTTAAGTAGCCACGGGCTGAAACTGTTTTGCAGACAGGGTCTTACTATGTAACCCAGGCTTGGTCTCATCCTTAACTTGCTATGTGAACCAGGTAATTCTCAGGCTGAGCTCAGGTAAATCTCAAGATCCTCCTGCCTCTGCCTCGTACATGCTCGGGTAATAGGCCTATGCCACTAGGCCTGGCAGAAATGTTACATTCTTGAGGACTGTACTAAAAACATAAGCCTGGAGTTGTTGTCGGCTGATTGAACATGTATAGTTTTCCCGTTGGCATGTATCTCTAAACAATATTAGCAACATTTTATATAGCATTTACACTGTATTAGGTATTAAAGGATAATGAGGTATACAGGAAGTTGTGTGTACACGGTTTGCTGTTGCTATGCCATCAGGTATACAGGACTTGAGCATCTTAGATTTTGGCATCTGTAGGATGTCCTGGACATAATCCTCCAGGGCTGACAAGGGGGTAATTATATCAGAAAAGTGGGTAAGGGCCAGAGAGATGGCTGACTGAGTAAAGGTACTTGCCACCAAGCTTGACAACCTGACTTTGATCCCTGGAACCCACACGGTGGAAGGAGAAAACTACCTCCTGTCAGCCGTCTTCTGAAAGCCACATGTGCACCATGAATGCATACATATGCATTCACACAAATAAGCATAATTAAGATGAATTTTAAAGTAGAAAACAGGCCTAGAGAGATGGCTCACTACTCTTGAAGAAGCTAGGGTCAGTTCTCAACATCCACACAGAGAGCTCACTACTGCCTGTAACTCTACTCCTAGAGAATCCAGTGTCCTTTTCTGACCGTTGAGGATTCTTGTATGTATGTGGTACACTTTTGCACACTCGGGTGTGTGCGTACACACACACAATGAAATTTTTTTTAAAAAGCAGAAAACAAACCTAAGTCAGCAAAAAGAAGAACTATGAAAATAAGCTCATTGTCACACAAATAATCTTGACTAATGGAGTTAGCAGACAGAAGCCAGGCATGATGGCACACACCTGTAATCCCAACACTCGGGAGGCAGAGGCAAGCGGATCTCTAGGAGTTCGAGGCCAGCCTAGTCTACAGAGTGAGTCCAGGACAGCCAAGGCTGCACAGGGAAACCGTGTCTCAAAAAACCAAAAGTAGGTAAGTAAATAGATAAATGTAAAAGAAAAGAAAAGAAAAGAAACAACCAAACCAACCAGAAAGCAGACACAGAGACATGTTGCCAAGTGAAGATGCCGTGATGTCCAGCACAGCTTTTCAACAGAGACAGAATGGCCACGCATTTAATAGTGATTTAACATGCACTACTAGTAGCCACACCAAGAGAAAATGGCTTTAATATTCTATTTTACCATTTCAGTGCCTGGAAAACACAGCTGTTTTAGCAATGAGGGTTTCCTAAGGAAATATCTGTCTGTCTTTGTTTGAAAGGAGTCTTCAGAATCTGCTACGACGTATTTTATACTTAAGAGCACAACACACTTCAGAGAAGCCTTCCTCAAGGTTTCAAAACCAGGGCAGTTGGTGACTTCTCAGCTATATGCTATATGAGTGTATTATGGGATGGTGCCCTGCAGCTAGCGGCTTATCTTTCCAGAGCGGCCCTAGAGAAAATCTGGCTTGAAATGGACAGATTTCACAGAAGATGGAAGTAAGAAGCAAGACTGAAGAGGATTAAACAAAGATGGTACTAACTATGAAAGTCCTTTTGTTCCCACTCACTTCATTCAGCCGGCCCTTTAGATTACCAAGAGCAACCAAATAAAGCATTGAGGGCGGAAGCCCTTAGCTAAGGGAGGCCCTTGAGTGGAAGCCTCTAAGGAAGGCCCTCTCATCCACTGCCCCTTTGGCCTATGGGGTCTACGGGAGCACAGGCCTGACAATGAGCTCCTACCTCACAGCTCGATAGTTACTGTGTCCTGCATGTGCTCGGCTGGAGCCCAGTCAAGCCTCTTGTCCACTGGAACAAGGGCAGAAGACGAAACAAACAACTCCTGCTTGTTCTCAAACACAGAGAGAAGAGGGACTGACTGCACTTGGAAAGGCAGCACAAAACGGGGAAAAGGAAAGTGGCTCTACTGGAAAGATGAAGCTGAGAGGACGTAAGAGGCTTTGAAAACAAGAGTCTCATATAATAGAGAATAATCTGTCTGAGGGTTGGTGGCGATGCTGCATTTAATCCCAGCACTGGGGAGGCAGAGGCAGGTGGAGCTCTGAGTCTGAGGCCAGCCTAGTCTACAGAGTGAGTTCTGGGAACAGCCATGGCTACACAGAGAAACCCTGTCTCAAACAAACAAACAAACAAACAAACAAACAACTAAATAAAAACGAACGCTTGCTGCTCTTGAAGAGGACCAGGTTCAGTTCCCAGCACCCACGTAGTAGCTCACAATCACCTGTATATCCAGTTTCAGGGGAACCAATGCCCTCTTCTGGCCTCTGGGGCTCTCGCACACATGTAACTCACATAATTCATAGGCTCACTTACATATAAATGGAAGCAAAAAGATTTTGAAAGAAAAAGAAGAAGGAAAAAAAAAAAAAAAAAGCCGGGTGGTGGTGTGCATGCCTTTAATCCCATCACTTGGGAGGCAGAAGCAGAGAGATTTCACACACAATTAAATTTTTTTAAAAAGCAGAAAACAAATCTAAGTCAGCAAAAAGAACTATGAAAATAAACTCATTGTCACACAAATAATCTTGACTAATGCAGGTTAACAGACAGAAGCCAGGCATGGTGGCACACACCTGTAATACCAACACTGGGGAGGCAGAGGCAAGCGAATCTCTATGAGTTCGAGGCCAGCCTAGTCTACAGAGTCAGTCCAGGACAGCCAAGGCCACACAGAGAAACCGTGTCTCAAAAAACCAAAAATAAAATAAAATAAAACTGAATTAAGAAAAGATATATAACGACATAGAATGCACACCCGTCTCAAACAGCCAGGTAGGCAGGGCAATCAACTGAGACACTTAAGAAGGCATGGGTCCAGGAGAGCATGCAGGTCAGGAGGCCAGCAAGGGAAGCCCCAGGCTGAACCACACGGCAAGCCTAGAGTAGCTGTTCCATTCTGGAACAGGAGGGTGGAGGTCGTAAGGTGGGATAGCATTGGCCAGGGAGGAAAAGGACTCCAGGTAACAGGCAGCACATTCGAGGGGCTGGAGAAACATGAGGATGTACTGACGGACCGTCATGAAGAAAGAAAGTCAGTTACAAACTCCAAGATAAGAATGTTATTTTAATATGAAGCACAGTCAAATATAGCATGATTTTAATTAACTGATGGAGTTTAAGAGAAACCATCTGACTCTGACATGAGCAACATTCTTTTCATGAGTTCACCCAATAACTATGACAATGAACGTCATTTTGGTATATTTACTAAGGTTACACTACTTAGTGGTACTTAATTTTTTAATTTATGATTTATTTATTTATTATTTATACAGTGTTCTGCCTGCATTTGTGCCTGCAGGCCAGAAGAGGGCACCAGATCTCATTATAGATGGTTGTAAGCCACCATGTGGTTGCTGGAAATTGGACTCAGGTCTTTTGCAAGAACAGCCTTAACCTCTGAGCCATCTCTCCAGCCCAGTGCTTAATTTTTTAAAATTAGTTTCAGACATGGGATGGAAAGCTGAAATGTGGTTATATAAGAGATGATGAGTATCATATTCTCTGACAATATAAGTGACTGCAATTGCCAGGAAGTGAAAGGAGGGAAAGGAAAAGAAAAATGGATAGGTAGGTTCCTAACAGTTTTTCTTTAAGAATTAAAGAAAATTTAATCATACGCATACAGTTGTGTGTGTGTGTGTGAATATGTGCCTGTGTGACCACAGGTGCTCCTAGGATCCAGAAAAGAGAGCTGTGTCCCAGGAGCTGAAGTTACAGGCAGCT